TTGGAAAACAACTTGTTTTCAACGTTTTCATCAATTAGTCAGCAAGTATACTGGTACTTTACTCGCAACCAACATAACCAAACAAAATATAACCTTAAATGACGTTTGTATATTCTAATTTTTTAACCAGTGCGCCATCTGGTGTCTGTTTTGTAAATTTTATTTCAATTGCCCGCAAGTCATCGATTTCAGCTTGATATTCGTGCGGTATTAAAACAAGCCGGCAGTCTAGTGGGAATAATATGAATATTCGTTTATACTCACGTTTCACATTCGGCCTTATCCTACGATCGCGTCGGAATATATTTTGAATGGTGTGTTGTGTGTTGGCGTGCCGTACAACTTACAACTCTCACATTCACATTCATATTCGATGTTTTACGAGTTGCAATCGACGATATTTCGTCGTTTTCGGTTCCGTTCGACAATGCGGTGAAAATTACACGTGCAGAATTTATAAAATTATTAAATTTAGTTTTTTACGTTTTTTTTTCGGTTTATTTCTAACTAGAAGTTGATAATATTTGATGAATTAGTCTGATGATATTCATCACATCAGATTATTATATTAACAAGCTTGTTTTGACAACGGTGTCACGGCTTGACGTGAATTCATCACTCAGAAACCTTTGGCCTTTCACCTTTATAAACCTAGTTAGTTCTATTTTAGTCTAATTGAATTTAATTTAATTTTCGTTTGATATCAGAAATTTACATTTTTCGTATTTCACACTTTTTTGTATGAATATCTATGAATATCTACCACCCTATAAGCAAATATGTTTTTACTGGAAGACTTGGTGGTGCTGTTTTGTTTGTTGTTTATTTTTTGTTGTTGTGGCCCATCGCCGCATGAAATATAGCGCGAGTTGCGACGGTTGCGTGCGCCGCCCATACCTTCGGCGATGTGCTGCAGACGGCCATCTTATCGCGCGTACCCTTGGGCTGAAACGACCGGTCTTAACCCGCGCACACCGCGCACTAACACACAGATAAAGGAGAAACAGAAGAAGACTAACACAAATGTAAAAATTACGTTACAACTGTAACTTGGAATGTGGGTAACACAGAAAGTCATTGACAATCATAGGAAAGAGAGTTTTCTTTAGATTTTTGAGTTCAAATTTTTATTTTCTTTAAATTAAGAGTAAATTGGGGCATTTATAGAGTTGTGGATAGTTTTATAGAAGATTCTACTTAAGATTTACCCAAATTTAACAAAATCGTGACAATACTCTGTCTAGTTTTGCAATAAAAGTAAATTTTCTTAACGTTTAATAAATTGAAAGTGTTTCTTTGTTTTATTTTGATATTATTATTATTATTATTAGTCTAACATATAGTTAATTACCGTAATTACTGTTACTCAATGTTTAATTAGGTGTTTTTGTGAGTTGTCAACAAATTTTAAGTTTTTGAAGAATTTTTCACTGAAACAGTTGTAAAAGTTGCAAAACAACCAAAAATGCAATTTTAACAAAAGTTTAATAATATTCAATATAGGGGAAAGTCGCTTAAGTCGTACCGTCACGTAAGTCGTACCTCGGTCTTTTCTCTAACTTGAAAGCACTTTATGCAACTTAAAATGCTGTATTCGGACAGCATAAAATCATACTAGAAGCATATTCTTTAATCAGTTCCCGCCAAATCAGTATTGAGAAGTTATGCGCAAAAATAGTTTTGCTCCTCGTGCTCATCCAATTTCTCGTGGAGCTTGAAAGCATTGGTGGTCAGTAAAACACCACTAAATATGTGTTGCATGTTAAATATTGGTTATACATCTATCCATGTATTGTTTTCTACATGGATTTTGTTAAATAATCCTTCTGATATATTGTTTAAGGTTGTTTTAAGCGGGAAGCACATGTTTGCTAACTCGTACCCCTTTGCGTTTTTTAAGTCGTACCTATAGAACATATGGGACTCAAGGTTTCAGCTGCGCCACGAGGCGGCGCTACGGTTGCGCGCCGAAGATACTTTACTAGCGTGATGAGAATAGGGAAGATAGTATGATTCAGTGCCTCAAATGCAAAATTTGGATGCATGACAAATGTGTTGGGGTGTCCAAACGAGTATAAAATACCTTGCAAATAATTACATTATTATTAAACTAATATATATTCTTATTTTGATATTTCTTTGGCATAGGTACGACTTAGGCTATCGATGGTACGACTTAGGGTACCGGTTTGTTAAGTCGTACCGTTCACACATTTTTGTTAAATCGATGTTTTACAAAAATATAAACATTTCTGATTAATTTTTCTCATACGAATTAAATCTGTATTAACTAAAGCAGGTAAATATGTCGAAAAACTGACATTATGTTGCAAAACTTTCAATCTAGGGCCAATTGTATTTTAGAGGTACGACTTGGCCAACCTTCCCTACAGTGTTGTGGTGATATTTAACAATATATTTTTGTTACTTTATACTTAAATCAATTTTCTACCAACAAATCTCTTCAAAACTCATATAAAATAAATATTATTAAGCTTTACAATTTATGTACAATTCTATAATTCTATGATTACTTGATTGCTGTAAACTGTCCGCAATCCGTCGGATATAAATATACCTAAATCGCACCGAAATAAATCCCAATTGGCACTTTAACACCTCAGGTATTGCCTTCCCGGGCAAAAGTGCGAAGGTGTGACGCCAAATCAGGACAACGTATTGTTAACTAGAATTATACAAGGTATAACAACATAACAATGTCCAATACATTTACGTTACATGCTCACCATGTTCAGTGTTCGTTGTGTCTACTGAGCCCACAATCCACTTCGACCCATGCAAGCCATACAAGCCATAGATACGTTTACAAAGAAGGAAAACCCTTCGAGGCATCAAAAGATTCCACAGAACAAACGACAGTAACCACAACAACAGCAGCGGTATTTCCAACGCGGGATTAATTTCAAAAGATTTATTTCACTCGAGATACTTGCGATTACAAAGTTTAAACAGGTTAAATGTTGAACATTGAACATTTTATTCAACAAATAAATCATTGTATTTTTATAGTTTTGCTTTGGTTTATTATATTCTAAAGGAAAAGAAATAAATTTTATTTTTTAAAGTAAAATCAGTAAAAATAGGGTTTTAGGTTAGATTAGGTTAGGATAGGTTAGGATAGGTTATGTTAAACAATAGAAAAACGACTAAAATAAGGTTAATAGAGTCTTAAAAGAAGAAAAATTGCAATTTTGGCGATAAAAACAAAAAATAGCTTCAAAACTGTGCACAAATCTTTCTATATTTACATTGTACATAACCTCTGTTATTTTTGTACTTCGATAAAGTTTATTTAATTAATTATCTTCGGTTTTCGCATGACTTACCTATTGTTCCATGAAGACTATGAAGAGTATCATCGCGGATATGTTTCATTTCTTTGCAACATAATTCTTCGTCTCATTTACACAATCGTCTCTCGCCTCCGTCGGCGAGCAATTAATGCAACAACATTTTTATTAAAAATCCACCCGCCTTCAGCCGGTATAGAATAAGTGCTTGAATGCTCACTCACAATGTTGGCCGTGTGTGTGTTTGTCTCGATGCGCGAGGCGCGCTCGAGATACGCCGTAATATTCAATTATATCCGCGTAATTACAGTCATTAGGCGCATTTTTGTTTGCTTTATTCGCATATCGCGATACACATGATACATGATACTCGCATACACACTCAAACAATGTGCGTATATCAACGAATTAAACAATCATAACATTAACATGACGCCACTCAATTATATTATTAACTGGCAAAGTAGTCGAAGAAACAAAACAGAATAAAACAAAGTAATGCAAACAATGGATGAAGATTAAGGTTATGAATAAGTAATAGTAATAATATCATTTGTTTTCGGTGTTTTTTTTTTCGGTTTTTTGTTTTCTTTTTTAATGGAAATGAAATTTTTGTGGATATTTGATGATTTCTTGTTGGTAGATATTGCAAGAAATGACATGACGCCAACGTCCTTGTCACTCATTTGCGCGTCGGGCGGGCGCACCTTCGCCGCAACCAATAATTAATAATTAGCAACGTGTTATTATCACTCACTCGACGTGGAATAAACTCGTGTGGCAAGAAACGAGCGTATCATACTTGTCAAACTATAAATTCAAACAAAACACCAACAAAGTGCGGTAAAAACACAAAGAAAACAAAGAAAACTCAAAAAACAAAAGAAATATTACATAATTGCAACAATAAACGGTTTATGTACTGAAATTTTTGACTAAAAAATAAACTAAACAACAGCTGGTCCTTTGCACTGGTACTAAATCGAATTAGATTGATTAGATTGAAGATTGAATAGAGTGTGTGCGTTGTTTTTTGTTGGCTTTCGAGGCGCGGCCGTTTCGAAAAACGCGCGGTAATTGCCCGCGACTCGCCGCGTTATCATAACGATGCGCCGCCATTAGCGGCGCACCCACGCCGTCGGTTAACTGCCTCCGTGCCTCCGTGCCTTCGACAACAATGACGGAATGATGGGCATGAGCTAATAATCTAACGCCATCGTTATCGTAATTTTATTACGCCATGACACCGTCGGTCGTCTGTTTTCTGCTCATCACATGACGATACAGGCTGACGAACAAAATTGAATCATGTAAATGCATACGCATGCTAACAACAAGGTTGCAACTCAACAATGTAAACTCTGTAAACATTTAAAACACCGAAATAATTATATGGAATTATTTTTAAAGCAATTTTAATGGTTTTAAGTTTGTAGTTTTAAATAACTCAAAAATTAATCATTTATTATATTAAAAATCATATATATTTAAGTTATGTATAAATTTATAGTAAAATTAATAAGATATAATGTTTTTAATTAATTATTTATAATTATTTACTTATTACATTAAATTTTGGTACTTTGCACGACATCTGGCGATGATTTTGTATCAAATAAAATTAAATTAAAGCAAAATACGTGTACATAGCGCCATCTACTGAGTTTTCTTTGAAGCTGATACTAAAATTCACTGGTAACTAGCATAACCACACTGTTTGGTTCAAATTGTTCTCATACTCATCATGTTACTTATGTTTTAAACTATAACATCGATTAATTTTAATCCTCTAGTAGTGCACCAAACAGTATTTTTCTATAAAACATGTTTCCCAATAGTACTCAATCAAGAACTTGGATGTTCTCCAGTGAAGATGAAGTAACTGCGCTTAGAGAAAGCACAAATGCTGAACACATTTGTAGATATGGCAGAAACGTTCCTGTAAGTGTTGTAATTTACAGCATTGTTGCAGATAAAGTGATGTTTGTAATAATATATTAAATTTTTATTATTTAAGGATGCTAAAAAATATGAATACTTCTTAACTCCTGAGGAGGAGTGCATAATGGTGAGGAAATTTGAGTTTCATTTGAGAGATTTCTGCAGAAATTTCCAGCCACCTATGCCAAAATATGTGGTTGGCACGGCGTTTCATTACTTCAAACGTTTCTACATTTATAATTCTGTGATGAATTATCATCCAAAGGAGATTATGTAAGTTATATTTCCTAACATTGGATAAAAACAGATATTTTTACATTATTTTAAAATTTACAGGGTGACATGCATTTATTTAGCTTCAAAAGTTGAAGAATTCCACGTTTCCATTTCGCAATTTGTCGCCAATATCAAAGGTGATCGCGGCAAAGCCTCAGACATCATTCTCAACAATGAATTGCTTTTAATGGAGCAGTTGAAATTTAATCTTACAATACACAATCCTTTCCGGCCAGTAGAAGGACTTTTAATCGACATTAAAACTAGATCTACTTTAAATGATCCAGAACGTCTTCGACCTGGAATCGATGATCTTTTTGATAGCATATATCTTACAGACGGTATTTTGTTGTATTCACCCAGTCAAATAGCGTTAGCAGCTGTGTTACATGCCGCTAGTAAACTACAAGAAAATTTAGACTCATATGTGACTGACACTTTGTTTGGTGAAGAAGGTCAGGATAATTTAATGACATTAATTGAGGCTGTAAAGGGAATTAGAAGCATGGTGAAAGTAACCGACGTTCTGCCAGATAAGAATCAATTGAAGCTACTGGACAAGAAACTAGAACGGTGTCGGAATCCTGAAAATAATCCAGATAGTGAAATGTGAGTAATTATTTTTCAAGTAGTGTGCTTGAGGTTATAGTAATGTTTTCAATGGGTAGATGGCGCTAACAGTACCGGTTACTAACATTTTTAAATGACTTGCTTGCTTGCTTATTTCAGTTACAAAAAGAGAATGTTGGCGATGCTAGACGACGAAGACGAAGCCTACAATCAAATAATGTCCGCGAAGATGGAAGCCGACAACTCTGCTCTTAATATCCAGGTGATTTAATAAGTAAGAATAATAATTATTTGTTTATTACATATTACACATTTGCCTTAAAACTGAATTGCGTTTTCTTATAAAATATTACAATTGCCTCCATTGCAAGTTATGAGTTATCAAAGTGTCGCCCAAAGTTTTGCAATTGTAAAATGGGTGAGTTTTCTACACTTGGTGGAACATCGTTGTGAAATTCATACGATGGTGGTAGACATTGCGACGAATGTGATGCAGGTGGCAGGTTTAAGTTTTGCATTGCGTTTGGTGGCAGAGGACACGGTTGTGGCACGCCATTTTGATTATTGTAGTTGAAGAACCATAAACGATCGCCAAGAAAAATTGGTCTAGGTGTTAAGATACCCATGGAATTGTAGTACTGCTGAGCGAGTATTTCAATATCATTGGTATACTTGCGCTTCCATTTTGTTCGTCGGTTTTGAAACCATATTTTAATCTGTAAGTAGTAAAATATTTAATTTTAATTACTTGCACATTAGAAGGTGTTTCGGCTGTATTATTACTTGAGTTTCAGTGAGTTTTAACGTTTTGGACAATTGACAACGCTTAGCAACAGAGAGATATTTGTTGCGTTCGAATTCTGCTTCCAGTGACTTGATCTGTGCGGCGGTGAAGGCGGTGCGAGGTCGCTTCTTCCTGTCGTCGTCGGATTTTGCATCTGAAAGCAGAAACACGAGACGATCGTAAATCGTTTAAGTTTTTTATGCGTCGCTTTTGCTGCCTCTCTTGTAGAGCTTGTAAGAATGTCTCTCGGCGGGCGCAATTTGCCGTGACAAAATTTATTGCTGGAAGAAGAGCCGCGACAGCGCGGAGTAAGTTGAAGCGCGTTGAAGCTAATTTGCGGCCAGAATTAGATTTTAAGCGGCGTTCGCACAATGTAGAAACGAATGCACACCGCCGAGCTATTCCACGATCGTAAAACGTCGTTTTTATTTTCACAAAATCTCATAAGGTGCGGGTGTGATCATTTTTATCTACATGGGCGATGTCTACGTCTGTTGTCGACGCCTTAGCTTCCGACCGCCATTTCATTAACAATTAGCCAAATTCGTAAACTTGGCTGAAATCTTCTGTGGACTTTAACTTCGGTCGTAAACGATCTGCGCGTAAATTATGACACTTGGAAAGTTGGGACGAAGAGAATCAAGCGGTTTTTGGTGAATGTGCACAGCGTCGAATGCAATTATTGCGTGATTTACGCGCGCAGTTGTAAATTATTTTGTCAGTGTTGTGTGTTTCTGGGGACAAAACATAAATGCAAAACGAAAAAAAGCGATATCATTCGACAGATCGTAAAAGTACAAGCAGGGCAACTGTAATAAACACCACAGGATGTAAATTGAAATTTGAACATTCCAGATTATAAATTCTCATAACATTTCTCTGAATACTGCTGAAAAATACAGCGTAATGTTTGTTTCTTGAATTTAAAGTTGCAAGTTGGATGCAGTTAAAATTAAAAGCATTTAAAAGGTATTTAAAAGTGAACTCTTTGAGCGCGTACAAGCAAACGAGAGTAACGTGTGAGCAAAAGACCGAATTTACGCGCTGTTTGCACCGGTTCGACTTATTTATTGCGTTCTCGTGTATCAAACGCGTGAATCGTTTGATCTTGCGCTGATCGCGACGGCTCAACCTGCCACAGCGTACGCGCCACTAAATTATCTATTATTCCCCTCTGTGTGTGTGCCTTTTTATTTATTTTTAAAAAGCGTGAAACAACTTCAAGCAACGCGACGCCATCATATAAAAACGATTCGATTTTTATTGCTCCATGATGAGTTTTAGGTCATACTATTAAATTACATAAATTCAAAAATAAATGTTAAACTTCGAACGCAAACATTTTCTGGCATTTTTAGAGCTTAATTCATGATGACAAATTTTAAGCTGATTAGAAATGTGATTAGGTACCGTTAATAATGTGGTGGTGTTATTTTTAAACATTCGAGTGTTTGAAGATGAGTGTAGAGTTAAGTGAGCTGAGAGTAAAAAAAGTAAAGCGAAAGCGGAGTGAAACGAATCGGAAAAGGGTTGATAGCCGAGCGCCGTCGGAAGAAATTAATTACCGGCTACGTCTCGTTTTCGGCAATTTATACGCGCTTGTTTAGACACAAGTGTCGTGTTACCGTAATTAGTATTCCCTCTTCAGTGTGCAACTGTTGCATAGGCTGCATCCACAAATAAGCCAAACTCATTACTCAACAGCGCACTCAACATCACAACACGAACCATTTCAAATGGATCAGCATTTCATTTCTTACAACGCAATAATTACTTGGGTTTTGATTTTTCATTGTTGAAAATGTTTCATATTCTACGAAACTCCTTTTTTGTCGCTCTTATTGTTTCTCCGCACGATGTGTTAATTGCAATTTGAAGATCTCGAAATGCGCTGCGACGGATGTCGTGGTAACTCTAAAAAGCGCGTTAATTACTCGAAAAACAAACGAAAATGAAATCTTGCTGGTGCGTTTGATGCACAATATAGTCTTTTTTTTCGGGCGTCGTTTGTGTCATCAGAAAATGAGGAAAACAATGCGTGCTGTTTTCAGGTGGGTTGTGTGGAATAATAAAGCTTTTCCTCTCTGCTGAGCTGCGCGCCGCGCCTGCCCATGGTAATTAGACATCGTTTAGTGTCACTTTGTCTCCGAGCGCCTGTCAATTAGCGGCTGATATATGCGCCTTCGCGAACGCGCCCGCTTCTTCACTGTACACATGTATGTCATTTAAATATCTCTCTCGTAGCCCAAAACGTTGCTTTTCACTCGTTTCGGAAATGGATAAACCCCGAATTTAAAACTTTTACCGAATAAAACAAAATTTTGTTGATAAAAAAATTATCATGTGACATTTATAAAAATTCATTTTTAAATCTAAATTCGTAGTAATTTTGATGTTTAAAAAATGGCGAGTGCAAAAGAAATAGATACTTGTTCAGTGACAAGTGCGATTCTTCATAAACAAGACGAATTTTGGGAGAAAATAATTTGCGAATATGAAAAAGCCATCAGAGACTTAAAATCTGAAGAAAATCAACTACAACAACGTGTATTTGAGCTAAAAATCACCACTCAAGCAATAGCTACGTTTAATTTGTTAAAACATCTTAACAAAAATGGTGATCCGACTTTAATCAATCAATTAACGAAATTGCCGTGCATCTGTCCAACTAGTGTCGATAAAGAACAAGCAATCAAAGTAGATTCAACTGCATTCAATCTCGAAGGAAAAAATATTGAACAGATAACGAAAATTAAAGAGTTGGTCAACCGCGAACTGAAACTAATTGAAAAAGTCAACGAATTACGCGTTAAGGATGCAGCTCTCACCGATTTAAAGCAAAATATTGATGAATTAATGAAAAAACACTTTCCAAATATGATTTTCTCTGCAGGAAGTGATATAATATCAGAACTGCCAAATGAAATCAAAATATTATTGAAATCTGTTCGAGAATCCACTGATGAATTGCGTTATCTACAAAAACAAAACCAGAAAACTCGACGTGTGTTGCACGATGATATTCCTCTCGATTTACTACGCTTAAGAAAATCTAATAATTTAATCGAAGATAAAACCAATGAAAAAGTTAAACAATTGCGTGATATGTTATCAAATCACCACTTGAATCTCGCCTCGGAAATATCGAAGAATACGAAGAATTCAGTGTGTGAAATGAAGAAGCTCGTTGATGCTATGCAGAAGGACGCTGATGTTCTAAAGTTGGCCGTTGAGATGATTAAAAAGTTATAATTATTTCTGATTAGAATCAGCCTGTGATGTGTTTGCTCGGAGGCGGCGCTGAAATAAATTTCACTTTTAGTGCGGAGCGCGAACGATACGCCTGGAAGCTTCGAATTTGTCTCCGGGGCGACAGCTTTAAGCACTTAATGAGACTGCTTATGCGCGCCGCGTGCCGCGCCGTTTTGCGCGTTTACCTATGTATTTTTAGCTGCAGCGAGCGAACGGCTTTAAATTAAGCATCGCGCTTCTTATTACCACTTAATTATCGGTGTGGCAATTAGCGTTACTTGGGGGCAGGCGGTTGAGCGGATAGAGAGGAGAGGACTTCCGTTTTGGATGTACAGATATGTTTTTGGCCTGATAATATGAGAGAATTATTGGAGAATATTATAAAACTTAATTAAGAATTACTTTTATATTATTTACTCCTTATGGCGACTTCACAAATTGATATTATATTTGTTCGAAATACGTTTATTTTCACGGATTTCACTTTAGTTTTGAGTTTAGAAGTGTTTTTGGCTTGGAAATTTATATAAATTTAACAGAAAATTATTTTAGTTATATTTCTACTTTGTTTTTCATATAAAATTATTGCTTTCGCATTTTTAGGTGTTTAACTAACAGACTGAAAATATTTTCAGTTTAATGACCAATGAACCGCAGTTTGTTTCGAATTTATGTGCTATCTGCAGAAACATAAGCACCTGAAATATTTTGGCAAATATTTGCGCGTATTCAGCTTGTCAGTTTATGTTCTAGCCAATTATTTTCTGAATAATTATTTTTTCATTGAAGAAAAATATCTTGGTAGGTACTTGCCTACAAAATTAATCTCAATGATTATTAAATTAGCTTCTATTTTCTAATATTTATTTTTTGTATTTTACATTTGAATTTTTAATTTAGTTTAAAGTTTAAATGATTATCTTACCAATAAGATTCCTCTGATAAAATTCATCGCAGTCACTTGCCGTCGCACTAGCCGAACGAATTCGAAATGCAGGAGTCGTCTCCAAACTGCTGCAATTTGCTGCAGTCAACTGCCGCACCACAAAATCGTCACTTTCGCTGCGAATGCTACTCGCACCACCACCCAAATCACTATGATTACCGTTATCAACAAAATTGTTCACAAAATACCCGCTATCGCCACCGCCAAACCCAGTAATACCACCAGATACACCCGAATTAGTACCATCTACATTTAACCCACCACCTCCACCATTAATTAACAACTCATGCAAATTATTATCGCGCTCGTCGGCAACATTCTTACTTTTAATATCATCGTCGCGACTTAACAAAGATTCTATCGAGAAACTTTTCTTTGGATCTTTCTTTGGTATGGCTTCCACTGTTTGAGCAATTTGATCACTTTGTGCTGACTCCATGGTAAAATTAAGAAAACAAAATGAAATAATTGATTAAGACATCAGTGATTAACTTAAAGTGGGAAACTTGTTTGAAGGTGTTTAACTTCCACTTAAACCGTTAGCCGAATGCGGCTGCGAGGATTTGTTTGTCGCGACTCGAGCGACTTAAGTCGTGATCGCGTGTTGGACCAATAGAATCGTCTAAATCCTCGTCCTGTGGCGGTCCACGCCCACTTTCAGATCGCAGCATCATATGTAAATTGGTGTGTCAGTGCCCACCACGAACACGAGTTAAGTGCGCTTAGCGTGAAGAAGGCGCAGTGGGGATAATTGAGATATTTTTACGCGAGAGGACGGCGTGACGCTACGCTGCTATTAATAAACGGCAACGAGCAATGTGTAAAGGATAACGAGCGCTATCAATAGGTTAATGATTAATTAATCGTCAGCGTTTGGCGCATTCGCGAATTGCGCACAGGTGCCAAGCATTATACGCTTGTTAACATTCGTTGAATTTTCATGAGAAAATAGTGCAAATATTAGTAATTTAACAAAGAAATTTTAAATCTAAATGGTTGGAGTTGTGATTAATTTGTTGACAGCTTCTAGACTGAAAATATTTTGTCGGTTTTGAGCGACAGTCTAATTACGACACGATTCCGGAAACTTGGCGCCACCGGTCTTAGATAAATCTTGTGATCATGCGATAATCATGAGATTTGAGCTATAATGAGGAGGAACAGAAGGCGGAAGGGAAGATGTAAAGGTTCCGCTCAAATTGGCGCCACTGCATACGGAATTCTTTAAATTCCTTTCGATAATAAGCAATAAATCAAAATAATTTAATATTTTATCAATTACAATTAAAAACTGATGAAATAATCGTGTAATTTACATGTTAATTAATTTTATACGTGATTTTCTATTCATAGAAAACATTGGTTGCATTTTTTGCAAAGTGTTGATGTTGGTGAAGGATTAACAAACGGCGCCACCGTTAAAATACTTCAAATTCTTAGCTACCCTACAACGTTCATTCAACATTCATTCGGTAAGTTTTTGTTTCCATGCATTTTTCTTCTTCGCATCTCTTTTACAAGCATTTGTCTGAAATGAAATGTAAGACGACAAGACGAGCGGGTCGTAAAACCGTAATCGTTCTTGACACATGTGGTAGGTGTTAACTTACCCTCATTTAAAAGCAAGTCCCGCGCTACTAAAATTCAATCTTCTAAATCATTGTAAATCTTCCGTGACACACCGAATATAAACATCGAAGCAACACCCCTCTAAAAAAAGTAAGTACTGAAACATGCTTGGAGAAAAAAACAAGATTTAAGTTGAACGCTCTTTTGGAGATATTAATCGTTTTTATTTGAGCGTTTTTGACGCCTTCGATCGTCCCTCGGTTTTCAAAGTTTTGTGCACGCGGGCATCCGCTCCGCATGTCGCGTTCTCGTGTCCAATTAGCGGCGTTATTTATCGCTCGGTTAATTAACGGTAATTAAGAAGCGTTTTCGTCAACGGCGCGTAGTGCCAAAACGTTTGGACACGCAGCGTGTGTTTGGCAAGTTATAATCGATCTCTGAGAGAGGAAAAAACGTGTGTTTGATTGAATCCGTGTGAAAAGTGTGAAATGTGTAACACATTAGAAAACCATTACGCATTTGATTTATGCATTTTTAAAGGGAATTTAATTTTGGAAATCTTTGTTTCATTTTTGTTTAGAATTTCGATTTGTTAGTAGTTATTTTCTACCCCATCTGCATTTGTAGCACAATCATTTTTTATTATATAATAATTTTAGTTTATTGATATAAAAATATTTTGCACCCGTGACAAAATACAAACTTAATTGTAACTTCTATTAATACAATACACAGAACACAAACATTCAACTTCGTGCGCAATAATCGAATACGATTTGGTATTACAGTTTGGTATAAAAATCTAACATCGCAGATATCATTATCGCAGGCTAAAACATGACACAGATGGCAAGAGAGGATGATTCGATAAGAGACTCGTTCAATATGTGAGCAACCAAGAGAGATTTGATTTAAATTAAAGTAGAATTATTCAATAACAACACTTTTGATGAACTTCCCCGTGGGCGATTGAGGTGATACTTCCCCCAGGTTCTTCAATCCACCCGATGTCGGTGGCTTGTAATTGACTTGAGCGTGCCATTAATGCATCCGCATCACCTTCGTAAATTTTCATGGTGTTTATTTCGCCTTGCGCGCAGGACTTCAACAGGCCCTGAGCTATGTGTTCAAAAATTTGACCAACACCCTAAATAGGAATAAATTTTGTAAATTATTAATTTATAATTTATTTTTAAATACTTACTGAATCTTCTTTGGCTGATGTCTCATAATAAGCAGCGCCTAGTGAATTAGCAAATTGAAAGCCTTCGTTGCGCGAAACCGCACGCTGCTCGACCAGATCCAATTTAGTCGCGACTACGCATAGCACCATCTTCTCCTCGACGTTTCTGCGTAGTTCATGCGCCCACATTTTTAAGTTTTCGAAAGATTCGACGCGTGTTAAATCAAAGGCGAGTAGTCCAGCGTTTGCATTGCGGTAGAAAAGGGGTGTCAACGCTTTGAAACGCTCCTGGCCAGCAGTATCCCATATCTAGATTAAAAGAACACCATACTACATAAATTGCGCCTGGTATTGCGAGAATTCTGAGTAAAGTAAGTTATGAAGCTTTAACAGCGAATTATTGCAATTTGTACTGCGATTTGATGATATTAAGAGCTCGTCGATCATGGCGGAGCACTTAACTTGTCTCCGGTGGGCTGAATTTGTGATTGCACAGATTTTAGTAGCAAACAGAGCGACTAAAGGGGTTTTATTACCATTTCATTTCGAATATTTAAGAAATTTGAGACACCACAAAACCATTAGTTAATAAAATGTTTAAGTTATGAACAAATTAACTAAACTACCTTTTTCTGACGTTTATTTGAACATAAACTATGAGAATACTTTTTATTAATTGGAAGGCGAAAGTGAATATATCCCCTTATACTATTTTAAGTTTTACAACTACGACTACATACTGAACTAAACTGGGCGCACGTTTTAATGATGGCTCTGCTCCAATAACTTTATTCAGTTGGGTTTTATGCACGATCGGATGACTTGACGCCTACAATTTAGTGTAACGCATTTGAGGATTTGAGAAATTCGCTACGAAAATAAATCTTGTTTGCAACGTCTCGGAAGATTACAAAATTACACTGTTTATAAACCGCAACGTCATGATTTTAAATATTTTACAACTGACTAGGGACTCCTTTCGACTTCATTGGAATAACATGAGAGCAGGCGATACAAACATCCTGTTTTCTCGGGTATTACCCAACGCTCACTACTTTATGCGTCACTGCAGGGGGTCTCCCTACCCCCTCCACTTTTCACGGGACACCGCAGGTTTAAAGGGGAGCCCGAAACAAGCAGGTGTTCAGTCGTGCCTGATACCTCCAGCAGTGCAGTCGCTGCCTCTTGGTCCTTTCCCGACTTTAGTGTGGTTCACTTTTTTGTAATTCGTTGGTTTTGGTTTCATTTCCATACAAATATGGATAGTTACACAATGTCAATCGGATCCACATAAAATCCTCACCATTTTAATGATTAGAGGAAATTCACACGGATAAATGAATTAAATAGATAAATAAAGATTATAATAATCAAATAAGTTATACATACGTTCAGTTTGACTAAGATATCATCGTGCATTTGTAGTTTACATGGCGTGAAAATGGCACCAATCGTCGGCTGCGTCACTTCCTGGAAAACATTTTGCACGTATCGCAGGACGATGCTTGTCTTACCAACATCTGAACAAATTACAAATAGTTTTATTATATCATTCAGATCACGTTCCAATATTCTTCAGTAATTTAAAAATGGAAAACATACGTGTTAAAATTAGATATATCACGATCGATCGGACAAATGAGTAATATTCGTTGTAAATTACCGTCGCTGATAGGCATATATGCAAAACCAGTTAGGATAAATACGAAATTGTCAAGGAAATGACTCATGCACACGCCATGAACAATTCTTATTTGATAAACAGAATAATAAGTGCGTTGTCTGTTCTTATAAAGACATACCAACAAATTCTTTTAATTTTTTATCAAAACAAAAGACTTCCAAGTTAATTATTTTTATTTGTTATGGCATAGAAATTAAATAGGTATGCGATTGATTTTATGTTACGACGTAAACAAAGCAATGGAATTTCACTTACTCTGATCACCCACCACAATTACTTTTCCAACTACGACTTTCATAGTCGTTCTGTGTCATAAATGCACTCGCAGAACAGCGCCGTGTTAATTTGAAATGATTTCGACGTGTGGTAACGTTATATCTAGCGCAACGAATGTGCACGCCGCGGGAATGTTTTGATTTCGTGCGACAAACAACGAACAAACAAGCACTGCAGGTGATTTTTGACGATTGTCAGTTGTCTTTTGTCATATGACCGCGGTGACTGGTTTTGACAGCGGCTGTATTTAGATAGAAATTTGTAGCATGTTTAGAGAAGTACACGATAGATGGCGCATGCTGTATGACTTTTAGAGTGAGATCTGCAATTTAGTAAGTGAATGTGTGTAGGCTAGATTGATACGAATAACAGATAAGAGTTTTATTTATGTGATATTTTGCAGTAAAATATATATGCAGGTGGTGTTTGAGATAGTAGTGTTTTTGTTTTGACCGCTAGTTTTACGTGCAACAATTTGCTTGGCTTGCAAGTGAACAAGTTTCAGTTGTGCTTCAATTATGTTCGTTGCACAGTGTAAAACTGAATTTTTGCTTCGGTAAAATCAAATCATACGCCAGTGTGCGCGTTGCTGGCGTCGAAAGTATTATTTCATTAGTGCGTTCGATATGTGATAACTTTCCGGCGTCCGTTGGCTGCAAGAAAGGCAAGTTTCCCAGTTAAAAATGTTGCTAACTCGATTTCGTCTGCCATCTGTGTCGAAAACGAGCCGAAATACCGCTTTGTGCTCGATGTTCGTCGTCGGCGGCGGTGGTGTGTGCGAGCGGGCGGTTGATTGGTAATTGCTTCCCGGCGGCGGCTGTCGAATCA